AAGAGGGAGGGAAGGAGGAAGAGAGGAAGGAAAAAGGGTGGGAAGAAAAAGGAAGGAAGGAAAGAAGGAAGGAAAAGGAGGGAGGGAGGGAGGGAGGGAGGGAGGGAGGGAGGAAGGAAGGAAGGAAGGAAGGAAGGAAGGAAGGAAGGAAGGAAGGAAGGAAGGAAGGAAGGAAGGACAAATCAGTGGTTCATTAATGCTGATTTGGTATGAAGCTGTCCAATAATTTTATCTTTTGGCAAAAGCCACTGAGACAGTCAAAGTACGCTAATCAACAAACAGTTCATTTTGACTCTGCTGAAATTACAGAGGTCCTGCAAGCCAAGCCCGTTTGTGGTTCTAGTTGCAGAAAGTCTGCTTAATCATAGTGATACACTCCCAGATTCCACAAAGCGGCGATTTCCAGATTTCTGCAGGGGCCAAAGAAAACCCGCCGGCACAATAAAGCCATTTCTCACATGAGCAGACCGTTTGCCTTTTTCTGGTGGAAATGGCAGGGCAAAATGATCAAAGATCAAAAAGATCTTTCTCTTTCCATTCGATTCCATTTTTTTCCCCCAGAAAAACAAGAGTTTTGCCGCTGCCTACCAAGGGGACGAAGGTGGTTGTTTTTTTTTTCCTTTTTCTTTCTTTCGGGGAGGCATCACACACTTTTCAGTCATTCTGTACCCAAACGCATGCCCCCCCCCTTTTTTTTACAAAAATTTAGAATTTCCATCTACGAACACTAAGAACTCCCATCCCCTAAACATTACCAGCCAAAATTTCCAGAGTGTTGTATCCCAAAATTCTGTCCCACAAGAACAGCAGCTGATCAGTAGCCAAGTATCCAGAGAACGCTCGGACCATCCATTTAAATGATATTCTTAGCCTGAAAAATAGTGAAAAAAACACACAATTTTTTTTTACTCTTAAGAGCGGGGTGGGTTTCAAAACCTTTTGAAGTGGGTGGGCATTTATTTATTTATTTGATTTGTCAATCACTTACAAGATAATAGGTATAAGTATATACATAGCTATGAATACATGAAATGGGTACACGTAAGAAAAATAAAAGAAACAATCGGACAGGGGCGGTAGGCACATGGGTGCGCTTATGCACGCTCCCTACAGACCTCTTAGGAAAGGGGTGAGGTCAATAGTAGACAGTCTCAGGTTAAAGTTTTTGGGGTTTGGGGAAGAAACTACAGAGTCAGGTAGAGTATTCCAGACAGTGACCTCTCTGTTGCTGAAGTCGTATTTCCTGCAATCAAGTTTGGTGCGGTTAACCTTGAGTTTGTATCTATTGTGTGCTCTTGGGTTGTTATGGTTGAAGCTGAAGTATTTATTGACAGGTTAAGTTGTTGCAATGTATGATTTTATATACTATACTTAGATCAGACCAAAGACGACGTAATTCAAGGTTTTCTAAGTCTAGAATTTCAAGTCTGGTGGCATAAGGTATTCTGCAACAAGTAGAGGAGTGGAGAACTCTTCTTGGCCTAGTTGGCCTCCTGCACCAGCCTCGCCTAGGAGCAAAAAAGGCGCCGTGGGGGGAGGGAGCATTTTTGTCCTCCCCCGGGCTCCAGAGGGTTTCCTTGAGCCTCCAGGACGGCGAAAACGGCCTCCCCCAGGCTCCAGGGCCTCTCTGGATGCCGGAAATGGGACCGTTTCCGGCCTTCTGGAACATCTAGGAGGCCTGTTTTTTGACCCGCCCTGAGGATCCACACAGGCCCTGCACTTACCTGTGATCCAAAACGGGTCACGCTGGGACTTCAGGGAGGGATGGGGTGGGCGGGGCCAGCCAGGGGTGAGATTTGCCGGTTCGCTGAACTGGCCATAAAATTAATGTATAAAAGAGGAAGCTGTGCACAGCAGGCTGTTGGGAGCAAATGTGAATTTATCTTGTATTGTTGTGGTTTATCTGTGTTCCTCGCATCTTCCCAACTGTGTGAGTTTTGCCATGCTTTCAAGTCTGAAATTCCTTCTTCTGCCCTGTCAAGCTAATTACTTCAGTTTGGTTTGTTTGGATTTTAAGTTACAGTTTGTGTGTACCTTGTTTTGGACTGAATTTTCTATAGTTAAAGACTGTTCCTGGGAGAGTTTTTCTCCAGCTGAAGGTAACCTGGACATTGGGGGCAAAGTTGGAGATAATAAAGAGACTCTTATTGCTTATTTGACTGTTTATTTGATAATAAAGGGACTCTTATTGCTTATTTGACTCTTATTGCTTATTTGACTGACATGCCTTTGTGCCATGCCCCGACTGTACAACTGGTGTAAACAGATGCAGGAACTTTTTAACGATTAAAAGAAGGGGGGAAAAAAGAAAAGACTAGATGCCTCAAATTAATACATTTATGTTTCACTTGAAAGGACGATACTTACGGCTGTGCTCCAATTTCTCGAAGATGATAGAACAGCTGTGGGAGATGGCTCTGAAGGAGATTCTCAAACAGAAGACATAGCGATACAATCCCCTTTTAAACAAGGAAGGAAGGATTAAAAAAAGACACCCTCAAAATACATCTCTTAATGCTGGTTTTAAAACACTAGAAATATTCAATATAGAAAACAGCTTGTTACATTTTTAAAGCAGCGATAAGTAAAGACGGTATTCGCGTGTTGCAAGAAATCGGCTTACAAGTCTATGACAATAGTAGTTTTGCTTAAAACTGTTCTGGCAGGACTTGCCAGGTACAGTCAGGGGTGGACTTCAAAAATTTCAGCAGCTGGTTCTCTGCCCGATTGCTGGGTGGGTGTGGCCTAGTTGGCCTCCTGCACCACACGGGTGGTGGTGGTTGCCTTCCTTGGGCTCCGGAGGCTTTCATCGAGCCTCCTGTTGTGGTTCGCCGGCATCCGGTGCAGACAGGAGTGGAATTGGACAGTGAGGAAGAAAGGGGACCAGTCAGGGAGTCTGGAGAGAATTCGGACGAGGGTCCTGCATCCTATGCAGAGATGGGGCCAGGACCATCTGGGAGTGGTGTGCTGACTCCGGAGCCTTTGGAGTCTGGCAGCAGCAAGGTAGAGGACCCAGGGGAGCCTGTTCCCAGTGCGCATGTGCGCAGAACTGCTAGAAGGCAAGAGCAGCTGAGACAAAAGGGGCGACTCTGGAGTCAGGCTGGGAGGTGATAGCCCCTCCCATAAGGGATAAAAGTCAGACCTAAATGACGAAACTTTTGCAGGAAGCAAAGCAGTTTGATCAGTTTTGAGTCATCCTCAAGCTCTGTGTACTTCGGTTGTTGTTTTTTCTTGTACTTCGGTTGGTTTCTTTTTTAGTTCATTTGATACTTCAGTTTTTGGCAGCATTCCACAGAACTGAAAGGCGCGTGCTTTTCTTGGGGACTGTTTAAGATTAGGTTCGGCTGGGAATGAAAACAATTCCCAGCATTGTAATAAAATAGGGTTCGTTTTTAAAACAAGTTTGTGATTAATTACGCTTGACGAAGAACACCTCCGGGAGGGTGTTCCCTCACCCTCCCTGAGGCTCTACGTGGGTCCTATACTTGGCATCCAAAATGGACTGCAGGGGGACTCCTGGGAGAGGAGGGATGGGCGGGGCCAGCCAGGGATGGGATTTCCTGGTCCGCCGAACCGATAATTAAAAATGATAAAATTAGTTACCGGTTTGCCCGAACCAGGGTGAACCGGTAGCAGCCCACCCCTGGGTACAATAATCTTCAACAACATTCATTCAGGGACTGTCTGAAGTTACCACAACACTGAAAAAGGTGACCTCTGTACCAGGTTTCACACTTACCGACCAATGCAACATCCCAAAATTCAGGAGAATTTGGGAGGAGCTACATTTTTCTTAACAGCCAGAGGCTTCATTTAACAACAGCAACGATTCCCTTAACAGTGGCGGCAATAAAGGGTTGTAAAACAGGGAAGGGGGGGGGAACTCACTTAACAACCATCTCACTGAATGGAAATGTCAGGCTTAAATGTAGTTGTTAAGTTGAGGATTAGCCATATTGCTTTATGTTAGATGCCAAAACCTAACAGAGGAGAAGAGGAGGAGGAGGAGGAGGAGGAGGAGGAGGAGGAGGAGGAGGAGGAGGAGGAGGAGACAGGGAAAAGGAGAAAGAGAAGAAGAGGCGGAGAAGGAGAAAACTAGAAGAAGAGGAGAAGAGAAGAGGAGGAAGAGAGGGAAAAGGAGAAGAAGGAGAAGAGAAAGAAGAAGAAGAAGAAGAAGAAGAAGAAGAAGAAGAAGAAGAAGAA